TGGTTGAGTTGAGAAGTGGGATGTTAGTAAAAACAGACTTAAAGTGGTGAACATAACAGAGAGAAGTGGGGTGTTGGTAAAAACAACCTTAGAGTGGTGTGAACATGACAGAGAGAAGTGGGATGTTGGTGAAAACAGACTTAGAGTGGTGAAAATGGCAGATAGAAGTGGGGTATTGGTGAGAACAAACTTAGATGAGTTTTGAGGGGAAAAAAAAGCAATGTACAAAATGATGAGAAAACTGCACCAGAAAAAACAAGTTTTTTTCTTGAAACTGGGACCCCAGATACCCCGTGACACTGGTCAGATATGTTTGAGCCATGTGACAAGGCTAAAAGATTTTTCAACAGTGTGACATGCTTAGAATATATCTGATTGATGTCACACCACTGAAACATTTCTGGCCAGTTAGACTTGGCTCAAACATTTCTTACCAGTCTGACACACTTCAAACATTTCTTACCAGTCTGAACCCCTTCAAATATTTCTGACCACTTTCACTTGACTAGGATATTTTTGAACACAATTTATTTACCCAAACATTTCTGGTCACAATATTACAGGTCAAATATTTTCTACCCAATCCAATATTATATTTTCTCCCAAAGGCAAAAAAATAAATGGCCACACAACCTATTAGCCTGGATACATTCTTACATTTTACAAGGCTAATAGCTTGTTCAAGGTGGGTGACTGAAGTGACTTTGCCAACAAGACAGTCGATGCCGCTCTTCAGCTCAAATTCTGTACATTTTCTAAACGTGACTTGGTCTACCGCATCGCTGGTTTTCAACGTGTCTACCTTGAAACTCTCGCCATGTTTGATTGGCACACCAAATGGGCATTTCGTCTGAACGAGCCTACTGGGAAGATCCACGAAGTGGATGAGTCCATCAAGGGTGCAATCACAGACAGTACAGAATGCATTGCCATGCTCTACTGGGTTGGTGCACCTGGTTGGTATGTTTGTCCGCCAGCGAACCTGTCAACCAATATGATTATCCGCATGATTGTTCCACCTGGTTGGGAGAAGATGCCGGTCATCCGGGGGCGATTGCCGAATGACATGGATCCACGCGAGTTCACATACAAAGAATATCCTGGGACACCCTACCCCGCCATCATCACAGCATGTCCTCGAAGTGGAGAGTACGTTTCTGCATGCCAAAATTGGCGCAAGGGACATTTTGGTATCATTGATCCCCAGCCCGTTGTCATGCAAGCTATCAGTGGTGTGGCTGTAGTGGAGTCTTTTACCAGATCGCAAGAACCCAATGTGACACTCACCAATGGTAGGCTTTTTTTGTGTTTAAGTGAACAAACTCACTTACCCATGGTTGAATCTGTTTAGTAGGCTCATCTGGCGTCAATGCGAACACTACTGCCCAAACATCTGGCGTCAATCCGAACAATAATGCTCAAAGTAAGTTCCTCTTTTACAGGTTGTGTGGTGGTTATGATACTAATTCATTATTATTGAAATAGCTTCTGTCAATCATACAAAATTTCACGAGCCTGAACATTCCTTTGTCCCCCCGCAATCCCCCACATGGAAGAATGCCTTAGCGGCTGTGGATACAAACCCACGCTGCATCTCTTCTAGCCTTTCTGTGCGTAATTTGCATGGCTATCAATTTCCGGACCCCTTCCTTTTCATCAGTGGTAACCATAACAGATTGATGATCTTGGCCTGGTTAATGATGCGGGATCAGTGGCTCCAGTCCCTCGTCGGCGTTGACTCGACTCCACAACTGCCATCGCCTCAACATTGGCGCAGCTTTTTGCACGATTTCGCGAAGATAATGCAGTTGGTGCCTTCAGTCCCCTTGACGAGCAATGCCTCGTTCGGTGGCATGCAAAAGAATAAGGGAAAGAAGCCTAATCCTTCAAATCAACGTCATGCACAAAAAGCAAAGGAGGCTCAAGGGTCCATCTTCTCGAGTGCGGTGTCCATTGGTGATCGTCCAGGCACTGTTTACTGGGGTGACGTAGTGGCGATGCAAGGAAAAACTGATCATCTCTCCCTTCTCATGATGGCACAGGTGATCTGGAATGCTTTCGAACAAAACCTTCGCTATGAAGTATGCCATCTCGATCACTATCTTCTGCCCTCAGCGTGGGCCTCCGATTCTTCTGCTGGTGTCCGTGAGAATTTAATACGCAGCATTTTCCCAGAGGACAGTGATGGAGTTTTAGTTGATGGGGTTCCTCTCTTCATGCAGGGTCTTGTGGCAGAAAAGTGGCAGGATCGCTTGGCATATGTGGACGCCTTGCGGCGTTTGATGACAGTGTGGCCAGGTGATGGTGTGAGGAGATTAAAGGCACACTACCTTTCCAATTCAACCACACAGGCAGTGTTTGAAGAAACGGAACAAATGGTGGCCAGTCTCTACTGCCAAACATTCTTTGATTGCTTTGGCCATGCCCCATGCACCCTACATCAAATTCCTGGATTCACGGAAGGATCATCGTCAGGCTGAGCGACAAGGGGGGTGGTTGTTCACACGGTGGCACTTATTCGGATCATTGAAGTATACAGGCGGACTTTTACACAAGCGCTATTCTCATGTCATTCGTCTTTTGTGCTTTTGTTCTTGTTTGACACGAAACGTGGACTTGATTGATTGTATTGGTCAGATAAGGCAGATTGGAGCTGGAGTACTTCTTGCCGCCCCCCCCTCTTCATCTCTGACCCTCATGTTCAAGCACAAATCCTCCAATTCTCGTCCAGAGCTTCCAAGAAACTTGGTACCAGCTGGTTCATTCCAAACACACCGAGTGTACAGCACTGCACAGCCTCGGGCCAATGTCTATAAAAAGTGGAATGCTGCTGTTGCTCGTAAAAATGAAGCTGCTGCTATTTTGGCTAAGCTGGAAGAATTTGATATAAGTGAGGATCTTTTGAGAGAAGAATGGGCAGCACAAGTTGTTCAACAAACCAAGCCAAGTCCAAGGCAGTCAAAGAATTTGGCAAATAAGCTAATTCAAGAAATTTTAGAGTTGAAGGATGAGATGAGTGGAGTCAAAGCAGAGCTTTATAAACTTGAAACAATGGTTCACACTGGCAAATATGATGATGGCTGGGAGATTGCAGATGTTAGACTATCTATCAATGAACTAAAAGAGAAGTTCACCAAGATTGAAAAGTCAATAAACACCAAGTGCAATACTCTGGGAGCTGATGGGCAATTAAATCTTGAGCGCCTGCTTGGAAATAAATTTCTTTGTCTGCGTGTAAATGCCTTGGCTTTAAAACAGCATTACGAGTCCTCTGAGTTTATGAAGAGACTCGTTTATTACCCAGGATCTCAGGACTTTTTTCAGCGCGGTAACGCTGAAATTTGACTTTCTCCCACGAAAGTGATTTCTTCCCACAATCATCTGCTTGGTTCACCTACATGACTTTCCTAGTCTACTTGACCATTCCTTGATTATTACTGTCTTTTAGCCCTATCCAGGTTGTCGTTGATGTAGCTTGTGGCTAATATATTGCTCTATTTGGCTTCCAGACTCTGATGAATGAATGCATTGCCTCTATTTTCATGTTCATGCAACTCAACTTGTTTACATTGAAGGTACAACAATTAAGGTCCTGACAACTTGTGCAAATGAGCCCATGCTCTGGTGAAACAGGCCACAGGAATGTACTGAGCAGTTGGTGAGCATAAGGCAAAAAAGCGAAAATACAAACCTACTTACCTGGATGGGAACTCAACCATTTTGTAAATGGCTTTGTGGAGCATGTTTGTGGAGTGCATAGGTATTGAATTGAGTCCACGCCCATGCGAAATGGACCACAGGAAGGTACTGAACAATTGGTGAGCATAAGGCAAAAAAGCAGAAATACAAACCTACTTACCTCGATGTGAGGTTGACCGTTTTGTAAACGGTTTCATGGAGCTTGTTCGTGGAATGTGTAGGTATCGAATCAAGTCCACGCTCATGTGAAACGGACCGGGGATCAGGTCACTGAACAATTGGTGAGCATAAGGCAAAAAAGCGAAAATACAAACCTACTTACCTCCATGGGAAGTTGACTGTTTTGTAAATGGTTTTGTGGAGCTTGTTCATGGAATGCATAGGTATTGAATCGAGTCTGTGCTCAAGCAAAATGGACTGCAGGAAGGTACTGAGAAGTTGTGAGCATAATGGTGAATATTCCGGATCAAAGGAACGACTCACAAGTTGAGTCACGGAAATTTCGAAAAAGACGTACTTNCCCTGGCGGGGCTACCTTTCAAAATGGAAGGTAGCCCGCAAGGGGAAGTACGTCATTTTTGGGCAATGCCGTGACTCGTCTTTTTGCCCTTATGCCAACCTCTGCCCAGGACCTTCCTGTGCCTCGATTCGCTTCAACGTAGACTCGTTTGGATACTACTTCACGTCCCGAAAACGCTCCAAAAAACCGTTTACGAAACCGTCAACTCTTCGTGGAGGTACGTCTCTTTGTACTTTCGTGTTTTTGCACTTCTGCTAAACTCTGCCCAAGACCTTCCTGTGTCTCGATTTCCCTCAACGTAGACTCGTTTGGATACTACTTCACGTCTCGAAAACGCTCCGACAAACCGTTTATGAATCCGTCAACTCTTCGTGGAGGTACGTCTATTTGTACTTTCGTGTTTTCGCACTTCTGCTAAACTCTGCCCAAGACCTTCCTGTGTCTCGATTTCCCTCAATGTAGACTCTTTTGGATACTACTTACGTCCCGAAGACGCTCCAACAATCCATTTACGAATCCGTCATCCCTTCGTGGAGGTACGTCTATTTGTACTTTCGTGTTTTCGCACTTCTGCTAAACTCTGCCCAAGACCTTCCTGTGTCTCGATTTCCCTCAATGTAGACTCTTTTGGATACTACTACACGTCCCGAAGACGCTCCAACAATCCATTTACGAATCCGTCATCCCTTCGTGGAGGTACGTCAGTTTGTAATTTTGTGTTTTTGCACTTATGCCCTCCTCTACCCAAGACCTTCCTGTGGCTCGATTTCATTCAACGTAGACTCGTTTGGACACTACTACACATCGTGAAAACGATCCAACAAACCGTTTACGAATCCATCAACCCTTCGTGGAGGTACGTCTGTTTGTAATTTCATGTTTTTTGGACTTGTAATAAACTATGCCCAGGACTTTCTTGTGGCTCGATTCCCTTCAGCGTAGATTTGTTTCGATACTACTACACGTCCCAAAAATGCTCCAACAAACCATCCATGAATCCGACATCCCTTCGTGGAGGTATGTTATGAGTCCTTACGAGTTTACGAGTAAGACTCATTCTTTATCAACTGAGGACTTAGACAAATTTTTCATTGATTCATTCATTGATTTACCTTTCATCACCGCGGGAACCTTTTCTCTTAAGGAGAGAAGCAGCCATAAAATCAGGAAAAATGGCAAATAAATTGGCCAAAAATGTGTAGAAAATCAGAATATTGCTTAGTAAGTTGGAGAGGCTGTGTTCAGGGTTCAGGGTCCATATCCAAATATAGAAAGCTGTCTGAAAAATGGAAACAGATAGGTTGAGAAGCAGTGCAAAATAAGTGAAAAATAAGCATGGTATTCACCATTGCCATGATCATGAATGGGCTGTGTTCAGGGTTCAGGGTCCATCTCTAAAAATAGAACAAAGCCAGATAGATTGTATAACATGATTACAAAATATGCCAAAAAAGGGAAGAAAAATCGGAATGATATTTGCTGTTGTCGGGGCTGTGTTCAGGGTCCATATCTAAATATAGACAGAAAAAAAAACAACTCAGAGAAAACAGCTGGAAAATGAGGAAAAAGTGAAGAAACTTGTACACAATAATTTAGCTATATTTGGGCAGCTTCCCATATTTGGAAGTGTATCCTGGACCCTGAATACAGCCTCTCCAATAGTATAGCAACATTAAATATCAGAAATGTGATTATATCATCTGACTAGTCTTCTTTCTTATGCAGATATTGGTCAAAATACATGACTATTTTCAAAAAGTGTCCAATTTTTTCAGTATTTTGTGTTTTTCTCAATAAGGAATGATCTGTGTGACATTATTTATATATATTTGTAAAGCTAAGCAAAGGGGCTACAATTCTTGTTAATAAAGCTAAGTGAGAGGCTGTGTTTCTGGTACTGTGGGAAAATTGACCTGAAAAGGAAATTAGGGACAGTTTTATAGAGCATGCTGTTATATTTCTCAATGTGGTCACAAAATGTGACTAGCTATTTTCTTTCCTGAGATATATGCAAAGACACCTATTTATTCATGTTTTTATATATTTTTCTCAATAAGAAATCATCCTGGTCATATGATTTCAGTACATTTAGAAATGTATAAGAAGAGGCTATAATTCATGTACTGTGGGAAAAAGTTCCCAAATAAGGAATGTGGACATGCCCTAAACTTCCTGGGTACTTCAAAGCTTCTGGTAAATAATAGTAAACTTTCCCTTTTGAACTTGAACCACCATCATCTTGCTTTGCTGGCACCTTGTTCACTCCATTCTGAGTCAACCACTCATGCTACTGCTACAATTCTTTTTGCTATGGCTTCTAGGCCTTCTCTGCTACACTTCTATGCCCTCTGTATTCTCTTCCAACACCTGGAACATGCTCAGATCTGGAAATACTGGTGTTAGCTCTGAACTTGGTCATTTTTGGCCATGTAAGCCTATTTCTATATTTCTGTAGGTGCTCTGCTAATCTTTCTATATTCTAGATCAACAAACTCCCTGTTCTCTGGCTATTCTGAGCCCAGAAGGTATGTAACTTGCCCTTTTTAGTGCATATTCTCAAATTTAATATATTTAACCCAGAAAACACATCATTGGCTTTCTGCCAGTTAAATCCTATGGATTTCTATGCCACCTCTTCCTTAAACTATGGTAAGACCTTAGCTTGATCATATGTAACTCAGGACTGAGCAATCTTCTAGATCTTTTACACTGGGATCAAGGAAGTTTTGGCAACTACCTTGATTCCAGTGAGGTTGATTACAACCCTAACCCTTGGGCACCCTCTATAGTGATTGATCTCAATCCGAGCCCTTTGGCAGCCAACCATTTGGTTGAGCCTCTTCCATTCAACATGGTTGAGAGAAAAATACATAAATTATATAAGCTATGTCTGTTCCCTCAACCATAAATGGAAGAGCATATTTATTGTGCCTCTCAACCATAAATGGAAGAGTATTGAATGCCAAAAGGCCATGCCTCTCAACCATAAATGGAAGAGTATAGAGTGCCAAAAGGCCTTGCCTCTCAACCACAAATGGATGAGTACCCAAATATGAGATATGATGATATATATAGGCATACATCAGGAGTATCACCCTTACACTGGAATGCACAAAGCTCATGGTCAGAAACTTTGATTTTGAAAAATGATGGCTTTTCTACTTGTGTTGAACTTAGCCCTGAGCTATGTAAAAGTGACTACACATTTTCTGAATATTTAGATTTAAAACTTCATAAGTTGTGGTTGCATCTAAGATCTTC